CCATGACTTATACATTCCATAACTGGGAGCCTGTATCTCCCTCTCCCCTTCACCCATTTGGCCCAATCCCCCACTCCTTTCCCTTGTGGCGACCATCAGTTTGTTCGCTATTTATAGGTCTGATTTTGCATTTTGTTTATGCATTTTTTAGATTCCACTTATGAGTGGAATCATATGGTATTTTTCTTAGTCTGACTAATTTCACTTAGTGTAATTCCCTCTAGGTCCATCCACGGTGTCTCAAATGGCACGATCTCATCCTTTTTGTGGCCACATAATATTCCATTATACACACACACATACACACACATCTTCCTTATCCATTCATCTTATTGATGGACACTTAGGTTGCTTCCATATCTTGGCTACTGTAAATAATGCTATAGTAAACATAGGGGTGCATATATCTTTTTAATGGCTGGACAGTATTCCAATGATAGAATTATCAGAATTTAATCATTTCCTTATAGGTGGAAATTTAAGTTGTTACCAACTTTTCATTGTTACAAACAGTGCTATAATGAACATTCCTGTACACATCTCTTTGCACAAGTGTGGCTATATGTTGCCATAGGAAAAATTCCTAGAGGTTAAAATTCTGAGACAAAAAGTATGCCCTTTTAATTTTGACAAATACTGACAAATTGCCTTCCAAAGACTTAGGCCAATACTTTACTCTCATACCAGTGATGAGAACCAGTGGCTATTTATCTCCAGTGTCACTTAAACTCAATATTTGGGATTTGCTTTTGAGTCTTTCAGCATCTATAAAGCACTCTGAAATATCCATGTAGGTTTTCCTGGCACAAAATGATTTTAATAATTGTTTAATAAATTAAAGGTTAGAACAATGCACATTCAAATGTACAGCTCAGAGGGCTTGTCCCAATAATGATACAATGGTAACAGAGCTAATATGTGTCGATGTGTCTTGAATATAATACAGTGCTATTCAGAGGTTATCATCTCTATCCATGAAAGTGTATTGTTTTCACACTTAGTTCCCATAGCTCACACAGGTTAGCCTTGCTGCTTCCCAGTTTCACATGGTATATGCTTTGTTGCCAAGGCTCATATCACACTTTCCCTGTGCACCCCAGAGGTTCTAAGGTCTAAAGTGTGTGATTAATGGTGCTAGTCCTTCAAGAGGAAAGGCATAAGATTCTGGGCATGTGTGTCCCCTGAAGACAGTAATAAAGCTCAACAGCAAAAGTTTCAGAGAATGAGGTTCCCCACTCTTGGGGAGGTAAATATTTTGGAGGGTCCAGAGTTCACTGCTTTTATACTAAAGGACTTTGCAGAAACAGAACTCTACAGGTTTTTTTTTTAAGATTTTCTTTTTAAGTAATCTCTACACCCAACAAGGGGCTCAGATTCACATCCCCAAGATCAAGAATTGCAGGCTCCACAGACTGAGCCAGCCAGGTGCCCCGGAACTCCACAGGTTTAGATGGAATGTCCTGGTGAACATTCTACCCTTCAGCTGCTCACACCACCCTTACCATGGAAGTAGCAATCAACTCTGAATGCTGAGGACTATGAGCTTGGGAGGTGCAGGTGGGAGCAGGTTAGCTGAAAGAGCACTGAATGTTGATTTAGGCTCTCAGGATGGGACAGCTGGGGGAGGGGCATTATTCTTCCACATCCTATCCATGGCCTGCTTTAGAACTAGGAGTCAGCTTCTCAGCAGGAGTAAGGGCAGTGTTGCTAAGAGGAAGTATAAGAGAGTGGGCTTCAGCACTCCCCCTGCTGTGATTGGTTGTTTGGGGGGTGAGGGGGGAGAAGATTCATACAAACCTGGGTAGTAATTGCTCCCTCCAGTTTTATTCCCATGACCAGGGTCTGGAAGCTGTGTGTTTAAGAACACACAGGAGACAAAATCCTGAAACTAGAAAGGAAATGGATCCACCTACCACTCTCCCCTACCTTATCTCCCAACGCCCAGTATGTAAGTACCTGTAAACATTAAATATAAGTACATATATGTACATGTGAACATTAAATAACATCAACCTGTAAGTACAGGTGAACACATACTCCATTTTCATCCCAGGTCTTTTAGGACTTGACCTTTTCCTCTCTAGAGTAAATTCAGTGATGCCTCTTGATTACGAGTGTTTGTAAGAAAGAATGCTTGATATGAACTGAGCCACAGCCCAGAAAAGATTCCTGGAACCACTAACATATTAAACTAATTCCACAAAGGACCTAACAGGACTTAGAGGCTTGTGTCATGATGAAGATATAAGCTCTGGAGTGCCTAAGTGCCTAAGACTGAATCCTGCCTCTGAAACAACCATGACTTTGGGCAGGTCACTTCACTGTTCTATGCCTTAGAATCTTCATCTGTAAAATGGGGGATGATAGTACCTACCTCATAAGGGATTGTTTTGAGGACTGAATGAAATAATGCATATAAAGAACCATGCCAGACATACAGTAAATGCTTATAAATATCAGCTATTATTTAATTCTACAGTGCCTCCCAGTTCAATGCCCCATAGAACAAATGAAATTGACAACTATGAGTTTATTTAATACATTTCCTTGACATGTTCATTTGCCCATACTTAGCCTACCGAATTTCAAATAATGTGAAGAAAAAAAAAAGCTGTTGCTACAATAGTCTCTCTTTCCCCCCACACTTCATGGTTCTGCCTTCCTTTTCCAAGACCCATTTGCTGGCCCCATCTCTGCCTCCTCTCCCACTAACACTTGCCCCTACACAACTACCCTGTGTCACTTTAAGATTTCAAAGGGTACAAAGACAGTAGTCAATTAAAGAGGTGTTTGCAGATGGGAGCACTTCCCTTGCCCCACCACCATATTCCAAAATTTCTCCTTTTCTGGTGTATTGGAAGACTGCTGTGGAACAGAAAGGCCACCACCTACAGGAGGTTCTGAGAGTTCATTTGCATAACATATCGCTAGAATCTCTCCTCCTTGGGTTAAGGGCAGCAGGTTTTTCAGGTCCAAAGCTGCTCCACAGCCCTCACCCTGAACTCCCTGCATTCCAGAGATATTAGGTCATGGAGGCTGGGGAGGGTAGTGGGAAAAAATACGCCTGGTCCAGTACCAAAGCATATGTTTCTGCCCTGTGTATCTCCACTCTAACTCTAATTGGCCTGCTTGGCTTAATGGGTGTCACTGTGTTCCCACAGCACCTGTGCCTTAAGTAGCTGATTCACATGGCTTTTATGGACCAAATTACAGTTCCACGCTGCTTCTAATTTTAATAGAAGGGTGTATTAACCACTAGGGAGAAATTATTGCTTGAATTCCAAAGAGACAGCGTGTTCTTCTGGAGGCCTTAATAGATTCTTTCAAATTCACCTTAAATAACACAGTCAGAAGATGGGAGTGTGAACTTCTGACACCAACCTAAGTTAAGTCTCTTCATCAAAGATAAAATGATGGATTGACAAAAAAAGTGTCCACTGCTCCAAAGCAAGTCACTTGACTCTCCCCCAAATTAATGACCCAATCCTTTTAGCCCCCAAACAGTGGTTGAAGATGGGACAACCACACTAGACATGCCAGGAAATAGGAAGATTCTGGCTAACAGTCCTGCTACTTAAAGAAAGGAGCTCCTCCGCCATAAACTCCTGACACTGGATAAAAGGAAGGGAAATGGCTAAAGATAAACTCTTAACATGATCTCATGAGTAAAACTGGATGGGGACGAGCAGTTTTAGGTCAGACTGTTCACAGTTTCTCACAACATTGTGGTAGCAACAATTGGCACACGCTACTGGGAATTCTCAACTTTTCCTGGTGTGTGAGGAGTAAGCATTAGGTAAATGCTGGGATACTAGGCCCTGATAGGCAGTGGCCATACTAACCTCGATTCTTTGGTTAACTTAGAGGCATCTAGCTGACTTCCCCATCAAAATACCCCACTGATAGGAGATACACGAGAAAGGGAAATATGCATTCATCCGTTGGGGGTGTGGGAATGAGCAGAAGCTTGATAAACATTTCCTTATTAGAAAATAAAACCCGGTGGGCAAAAACCAGTACCAATGATGAGTTAATTTGATCTGCTTTCATTCCTCTGTCTTCATTCTACCTTGGAGTATTAGCTGCCATCCAAAACCCAAACAGCATGAAGGTAATAGCCCAGCTATTATTACCTTCTCTCTCCCCTGGGGGGTGGGGACCAGCAAAATACTCAGAACAGTAGGAGACATAACACAATCTTCATTCCTTCCATACATTAGAAACATTTTCAATTACAGTTCAGCTTCTCTGAGATCTCAAGTAGTAAAATGACAAGAGCACAGAAAAACCAGGTTGGAGGGAATTCCTGATAACGAGGCACGAAGTGAGAGATTTTACTCAACCACTCCATTCCACAAGCTGGATGCCCCTGCAGGTCCCTGAGAAAGAGTCATTCTGGCTTATGCCCTGCAGGAATTCTACTCCACACTCCCTCCTTGGAGTGTGCCTAGGAAGGACTGCTTGAAAAGAGAGGTCTTTGATGAATGATCACTAGTAAAATCCGAATGGAAAGCTAACTTGTTTGGGGAACAGCTCTTTTAATAGTGGGGGTTTGTTTCTTAAACCACAGTTTCTCAATGGAATTAAAAAAAAAAAAAAACACCAGCCATGCTTACAGTTACAATTCCACATTAATCAGCCAGTTTCCTGGGAGGTACCCATAATTAGCAAGTTGTCACATCCTCTGATCAGATTCTGGTGGAATTCTGGGCCTTCATCCCAGCCCTAGGAAAGCTCAGTAATGCCCTGGAGCAAATGAGCAGAGCTACAAGATCACATCCAGAGAGCTTAAGGTGCTTGGAGGTAAGTTATCCCCTAGGGCAGCCAAACAGCTGCCCTGGGTGGGAGGGGGGTTCACAGTATCTCTGACCCTTCTTGGTTTATAGTAGCTACCCTGGGTTTCCAAACATAGCAGTCAATCTTAAGGAAATAAATCCTATTTGGGAGCTGCCCTTTCTTCTTAGAGGCTTACCAGAAAATTCAAGAAAATGTCCCAGTGGGTACTCACCTATGAGCCTCATCCTCTCATTCAGTTTCAAAGTTGCTCTTGGCCACCCCCAGCCTATCCCAAAAGACCCAGAAGACAGAATCTCAGACAATGCTTTGCCTTGCTTCAGCATCACAGGATGGCTCTGAGTTCTCAATCCTGCCCCGAGGGTGCCGGTGGCAGCAGACGCAATGGAGGTAGTCCACTACGTTGTGGGTAAAGAGTGAGCGCAATGGGTGCAGGTACTGGAAGAAAAGGAGCATGAAGCCAATGGAAATCAGATAAGCAATGATAAGCTGCAAAGCAATCAAGGAAGGACAGTAATCCAGTAACACTTTGACTCCAAAGAACTTGAAAACCAAAACCATGATCACGTTCTCTACCAACCTTATGCTATAGTGCAGGCCCATGTGCCCCCAGTTCTGGCCTTTGTCAACGAGGTCCCTGTCTGCCAGTTTCAACTGCAAAGCTGACCAGCAAGAGAAGTTGATGCCCGCATAGAGAACAGTGATGGAGATCAGCACCACCAAGGTGCCAACCCGGCTGAAATTTTTCTCAATGTTATTGGGCATCTGGGCACCACTCCTCCAGAACTTAACCCAGGGCTCAAAGAGGATGATCAGGAAGTTGAGCAATAAGAAGGGCACAGCCTTCAGTTTCAAGGTGGCTGAGAAGAGCACCAGAATCACGAGGCGGGAAGTGATCTCCAATGTCCGCCAGATGGTGATGCAGAGGACTTCTAATGGCCCAAGGCGAATCTTGTATTCATCATACTTGATCTGGATAGCCAACATATTGCAGAGGGTAGCCCCATAGGTGACAGAGATCAGGGAAAAGACCATTAGCACAGCTGTAAGAAAAAAAAAATAACAGAAAAATAGACAATCAGACTATGTTAGCGAAGCTTGAACTCAGACCCGGAGGTCCAGAGAGAGGATAGGTGAGGCTTGAGGGCCCAGTTAAGAGCAAATTCATGTATGAACACAGCTATGTTAGCACAGCACACAGCATGCACAGGAAAAAAAAATGGAAAGAAATAAACTAAAATATATTTTTTATGCTAGAGATTATACCAGTTTTCAAAATCCTTTTTTTCTGTTTCTCTAGTTTCTAAATTTCCCAAAATGAACATACATTGCAACACTTTAATAATCATGGAAACATACAAAATGAACTTTTTAAGAAGAGTGGATCTCAGAACTAGCATTGAGAGGTCACTAACACAAGAAGAGCACATATATAAAGGGATAAGGCAGCACCCACTTGATGAAATAGGCTTCTGAGCAAACAATGAAGGAGGCAGAAGGAATTCTGAAAAAAGCCAGTCCTAGGAAATTCATAGGTAATGCCTTTGGTTACAGAAGTCCCTTCTTTGACACATATCTTCTTTAAGGAACGAATCTTGTATTTACTTCTAGAATGTGTCAGAACATATACTGGAAATTCCATGAAGGCAGAAAGGACCATGGCTACTTTGTTCCGTGCTGTATCCCCAGAGCCTAACACACTGCCTGGAAGATAGTAGGTGCTCAATAAATGTTTTTGGAATTAATGAAGAATTCTGAGTTTAGAGAGGCAGCATAGAATATTTACAATTAGAAGCCCTTAGTTCAGCTCTGTGAAAGCCACTGAATATCTACGTGCCTTAGTTCCCCAATTCACTGAGATACTCTAGAATTGCTTGCATAAATCATCAGCAATATCAATTTATCACCCAGGTGCTTTGGGTATATTTTAGGAATATATTGGTATATTTTAGGGATCTCCAAACTTCTACCAGAGCGGTTTAAAAATTTTTTTAAAAACCCCATTTCATAGCATATCACATCCATGCCACCGTATAGAGTTGGGGCCCTGAAGGGTCAGGATGCTCCATAACTTGCTACACTAAGTCTCAACTATAGATCATACAGTGTCCCTTTCCTTTCATTCCTTTAGATCAAAGAATGCCAATCACTAAGAAAAATCTACTGCTCTCAAGGAGAGTGAGAGACCTGAGGGGTAACTCATCAAAAAAAAAAAAAAAAGCTGGAACTTTCTGTTCCCATAAAAATATTAGATCCCAGGGAACTGGAGCCATGGAGATGTCAACCTAATCTGCAAGGAAAGTGAAGACTTCCCCATGGAAACCCAAAAAGAAGCACAGCTTTGTTTCCAAGATCCTTTTCTGCTCTAAGTAGAGTGTTGGAATCTCAAAGACTGGAGAGACTCTCTTGAAGGGTCTACTCTTAGCCTTATTTTTATTTATTATTTTTCCATGTTTATTGAGATATTATTGACGTCTAATATTGTATTAGTTTAAGGTGTACAACAAAACGATTTGATATACTCTTAGCTTTATAAACCACTCTTAGTCCCATCCTTAAGAGTTGATGCTCCTAGTTGGGAACGTCATCTAGCCAAGTGTGGTGATGCTTTCCCTTAAATTAGAACTCATTTATTGATAGTGTAATAAAAGAAAGCCTGATGCTTCCAATAAATGTAAAAACACCCTCCATCTGTCTCCCTACAAATAGACTCATGCCATAAGAGATCATAATGCTGTTAGTGAATTTGCTCATCTATGCTGATCCAGATGGCCTCCAAGAGAAAAAGAGATTAGAAAAAGGGGTAGCAAGGAGAAGACAGAAGAGTGGATGAAAATGAGGAGATCTAACCCCAAAAACTGTTTACCAAACTTTAAAAGATGGTACTGTCAGCAAGTTTTTAACAGGAGAAAGCACCAAAGAATTGAAAACAAGGCCTCAGGGAAAGTTTCCCTTGCATCCTTTGTAGAGCAATATAGTTAGAAACATGGGCTCTGCAGGCAGGCATCCTGGATTCCAATCCCATCTTTGCCAACTATTACTTATGAAAGCCTGGGGGGAATTTGCTTAACCTCTCAATGCCTCTGTTTCCTCATTTGTTAAAATGGGGGTAATAATTCTATCACAGAGTTGTTGTAAAGATTAAATGAAATAATTGCATGCAGGGGGCTTAGAGAAATGTTCAGAACATAGTAGATGCTATCTGCTACCTCCTATCATCATCATCATCATCATCATCATCGTTCCCCATTTCCAAAAGACTAGTACATGCATTTCCCCTACTTAGGCAATCAGGTGATTTAAAAACTAATAGAATACCTAAAAAGAAGCCTTACAAAAATGTGCTAAACCTATAGCAAGAAAATGATACAATTTTACTGAAGTAAATTTCATTAAATATTTTTTAATGTACTTCAATAAAGCTGTATCATTTTCCTGCTCCGGGCCTTGCACATTTATGGCATAGACTGTGGGGATATTTCCTGGATGTATACTTATCTCCGGACACATCGAGCTGGATATGTTAAATAGGTAGAGGTTTCTGTCAATCATACCTCAATAAAGTGATATAAAACTATTTAACGAAATGGACAGATACATCATCTTCTAATGTGAAACTGATCCTGTAAAGATGTAAATTCCCTCCAAAACAACCTAAATAATTTAATGCAATCCCAATACACAGTCTCAATAAAATTTTTTTCTTTTGTTGTTGTTACTGTTTTGCTTTGTTTTATATTTTGGTGGGGGAATTGACAAACTGTGGAAATTCATCTATTTGAAAGATTAGGCTAAATTGCCCTATCAGATAGGAGCTGTGAAAGGCCTCTGTGAGAAGTGCACACGATCCAAAAGCAACAAAGAATTTAAATGCATAAAAATTTAATACTTCAGAAAGCCAGAAGACCATTTAAAATGTGTGTTATGTACACAAATACAAAACACATAAATGTATACATACACACTTATCTACAGCAGAGAAAGGAATAATACCAGAATAAGAAAACTGCTCCTGCAAATTAATAAGAAAAAGACAACCTACTATAAATCAGCAATTTAAAGAACACAATAACCAAACATGAAAAGATGCTCAGCTGCCCTCACAATTAAGAGCAAATTATTTAAGTAATCAGTTATTTTATAATTATACAACTAAATAATATTTAGTTTAATATATAAAGAAAAAGCACATTCATACACCTCAGGTGGGAATATAAATTCACACCACCTTTTGGGAGGGCTATTTGGCAGTACTGATAAAATTCCAAATATGCATAGCCTTTCACCCAGCACTTGTATTGCTAAGAATTTATCCTAGGAAGTCTCATTCCGGTACACAGATACTTACAAAGATGTTCGCTGGAGCATAGTTTGTGATTAGAAAAAACTTTTTTGAATGCAAAAATCAGAAACAAACTTTAATCCTACCGATAGAAGATTAGAGAAATAACAAAGAATGGTCCAGTTCATATAAGGAAAATATATGTTATATATTTATCATTTATTATTATATATGCATATATAAATAACCGTTGAAGGAAGATATATTGGCATACTTTTGAAAAAAGACATGTTGAACAGAATGTTTAATACAGCCCTTTTTAACGAAAATACATATACATATATATTGTATGTATGTTTACATAGTAAAGAAAAAAAGAGTCTGGAAGGATATATACTGAATGGTTAACAGAGATTACTTCTGGGGAGTAAAATTACATCTCCTATTTGATACACGTTCTGTGTGGTTTTGACTCTTTACCATAACCATGTCAGATTTTTATAATTAAAAAAATAAGGACCAAAAATAGTAATACATGGTCATAGCAAAAATTTTAAACCATATAAATTTCAAACCATACAGAAGGGTATAAAGTAAAAGGTAAATGTCAACGGACTTCTCATTCTCACTCCCCAGAGGTAAATGGTTTCTGACATATCTTTCCAGAAATTTTCTACACATAAATGATTACTTGCAGGTCAATCGGTTTGTGCATGCATTACTTCTGTAACGTATACATATTTTAATTAGATGATTTGATGACCTTCAAAATTCTCAGGAGGAAAAGTATCATTATTTCCTTTTCTCTTCACACTACCGTCAATCCTAGGTACGTTAAAAAGCTTCAAGACCAACAATTCCATGAACAATTCTTAGTGGAGGAAAAGAGAAAAGGGGACAAATTCCCTCCTTATGTTCATTTGTGACATGGGGCTTCGCCAAGCAGGATCAGCATCTAATAATAAGGAAATGGTTCAAAATTGTACCCACAGCTGTACCAGCTCCAGCCCAAGCAGATGAAGCTAATCTTGAGCTGTTAAAACTCATTAACAGTACTTTATCTTGACTTTGAAAACATGACTCACATTTCCTCCTCTCCTAGAGGTCTTATTCATCTAAGGATCCATCTTTTACAAGTGCGAAATTAAGACTGTGACCTCTTGGATAACTTCCTCCAAAAATCACACAGAAGGTCAGAACTGGGACCAAGCCTCATTTTCATCAGTATTCATTCCACACCCCCATTTCTTTCTCCCCACTGGAGTTGGGAGAAGTAATTAAATCAGTGGTTCCCAAATGTGGCTGATCAGAATCAACTGGGGTCTATTTTTTTAAATACAGATTCCTGGCCTCCCCACACTCAGATTGAGTCTGGTCTGAGTAGGAGAAAAAATTTTCTTAAAAAGGAGCTTTCACCCAGTAATGTTTTCTCATGATCAGTAGTATTTGGGAACCTCTTATTAAAAGATGGCCATCCCTAAACCCAAACAAACAAAAAACCCTCAGTATAACTTAAACTGGGCTAGGGAAAGTGTCCTACTGACTGCTGGTATTACCAGCTACTTCTGGGCCCAGAGAGGGCTTATCTGTGGCATTTTTAGCCTTAAATAGCTTACCCCAGTTAAAGAAATCTAGCAGGCCTAAGATGTCTGGCTCCCCAAGTTCTTTGACTATCTACCAGTGCTGTCCAAAGGTTCTGTAATACCTGTGCTATTCAATACAGTAACCACAGCTATTGAACACTTGAAATGTGGCTAGTATGACTGAAGACGGAAATTTTTTATTTCATGTTTCATTTTAATTTAAATAGCCGCATGAAGCTGATGACCAGTGTATTGGACAGCTCAGGTCTGGATTTCTAAGACTCTTGATTTAAATGGAGCCCTCCCCTCTCCTGACCCCACTCACCTCTACCCAGGGGAACCTCTGCAGAGATCAGAGTCACATAGAGCTGATAGGTCAGCTGGGGCACTGAGCCCAGGAAGGCTTGGATCTGTGACATACGTTTGTAGGCATTGCGGTGCATAGCCAGGGTCCGGATGGAGTGGCCCACCTCCCATTCTATCAGCACCTCCTCGCCATTTATTAGCATCTTCTTTCGGGTGAGGCTGACATAGGGCTCCTCCTGCCCCTCTTTCTTCCACAGTGTGAGGTACTTAATCATGGCCTCCAAACATCTGCAGAGGTAAAGCATCATGGGTACTTAACTAAAGCTGTCCTGGAAAGGAAGGTTGTAGTGGATGGGGGGATAATAATACAACTCAGGGAGTTTGTGCTGCTTTTTGCCATTCCTTAATTCCCATTCTACTCATTTCTCATGAGTCAAAGAGTGCCTTCCACAAGTCACTTGAGTTTAAATCCTTTTTTGTTTGGCTGGCCATCTACTGACCTCTGTGAACACCATTTCAGGGTGTTTCTTAGAGGATTTAAGGAATTGCTTTGTTTCCTTAAGAATAGGCCTATAGTAGAAAAGCACTTTGGACACAAAGATATTATGTAAATAATGTGTTGAGAGAACATGATGAAGGTTCTTAAAGGCCCTGGTTTTCATAACACCTCAAGTTCCTGAAGGAAAGCATTCTTTATGCAAAGCATTCAGCTCCATACTTGGGGCTTTTGAGTTCTGCTTTTTTCAAGACAAGGCCCACAATTGTGATTGTCTTGCCAAAAAGTCTTGGAGGGGGATCTAGAAAAAAAACCTCGTATTTATACAGTGATGCCATTCAAGAACAAAGGTACTTAAAGACTTGACAACTCAGAACTGAATGTGCTACATCCCTCAGGAACATCAAAAGATCTCTCTGAAGGTTATTTTTGGGGCCTAATGATCTGTTTGGGGCCAAGAGCCTTTTAAACTTCCCTCTTTCTTTACAAAGAGGAAAACATCCTTATGAGAGCCTACTTGAAATAGTGAGAAGACCCCATTTCTTGCTGTCTCCCTCCCATCTCTCCCACATAAATCAGAAGCCTTTAAGCAGTTCCGATGTGGCGACTAGAAGAGAAGCAACTAGAACATCTTGTTTTGGAACACCCGAGTTACCGCTTCCTCCACGCACCCTGAAATGAATAGAAACTGTGGACTATTATAATAAGTAAGAACAGTTGTGGTGAAAATTAAGCTCTTTCCTGACTGAGGGCATGGGTTGTATTTATCTTGCCTACCACCCTTATCGCATGGTGGGTGTTCGATAAATATTTTCTGAATAAATGAAAGAGTAAGAAGGAAGAAGAGAATACAGGGTGAGAAATGATGGGAGGGTAGGATGATAAAATAATGGCAATGTAATTTAATGGAAAAATAGGCTAAAGACAAGCTCAGAGATTTATATGCTTTCTAGGCTTTTGGCTCCCAATTAGGAAGGTTTGGACATGTGCTGGCTGCCATTCTCCACAGGATCCCTCTGAGACTGGGGCATATGTGCCAGTCCGAAGCATGTAGTTTCTCCCTAGGAAGTGGACGTTTCAAACTGTAAAACGCGGGAGAGGAAAAGGTGGAAGGAGGAGAGAACAGAGAAGAAAAAAAACTAAGTGCATTTCCAACAAAAGATTTTAGATTTTAACCCAGGCCCATCAGTGCTATTGCTGAACAAAATACTGGGGGAGGTAGTGGCAGGAAGCATTCTGTTTATGCTTCTAAAGGCTATTTACCGGTTTAAGTAAGGGTGTTTGCCTTGTTATAAGCCTCAGTAAATTAGAGTACATTTTCATTTTCAGAAGTATCTTTGCATTTCATATAAGGGAGCCAGGTCCTCCAAACACCTTCATGTGCCTAATAGCACTAATCAAGTTCCTACCTACCTAAAAAGTAATTTGCCTTGAACATAAGCATATCAAGGATATAATTTATGAGATTTTAATTATTTCTTCCCTGCTGTCAGGTTAGCTGATTATTATAAATGCTTTCCAGTCATTTCTAGTGGAAACTAAATGACAAAAATGAAATACAGTACTCAACACTCCATATGGTGGGTCCGAGTCAAAGCAAAAGAGGGAAGTCTAAACTCCGGACTGGGGCAGTACTTGCTGAAATTTGCACCTTGAGAGTGCTTGATCTGTTAACTCAGTATATTGCATTTGAAAAGGCTGATAAGAATGGTTTTCCTTGTTCCTCTAGTGGCATCTCTTAATTTGTGGGGTTTTTTGTTTTTTTAGAGAGAGAGCACTGACTGAAAGCATGTGCATGCAGGGGATGGGAAGGGGGAGGGGGGGAGAGGGAGGGAGGGAGGGAGAGGGAGAGAGGGAGAGAGGGGGAGAGGGGGAGAGAGAGAGAGAGAGAGAGAGAGAGAGAGAATCTTAAGCAGGCTCTACACTCAGCATGGAGCCCCATGAGGGCTCCATCTCAGGACTCTGAGATCATGACCTGAGCTGAAATCAAGAGTCGGACACTTAACCAACTGAGCCATCCAGGCGCCCCAACATCTCTAAATTTCTTGGTTCCAAGTTCAAGATGAGGTCTTTCTTTTACAGCTTCACTTCAAAGATTTAGAATTGGAAAGGAGCTTTAGATTGCTTAGTCCAAAGTTGCATATAGGCCAGCTGAGTCATATCTGACCGACAGCTGTAGTTTGTCCATACTGTGTTATTTAGTCAAGTTGCCGAAAGTCATACTGATATTTCATATAAAATCCTATCTTGGAAGCTTCTCTTGAAAAGTTGGGGAATCTGGCAATACTGGGTCTGAATTCCAACAGTGAAACAATGGGCTGGAACTGTAGAGTAGCCACCTCCTTTAGGCAAATCATGCAGACTCTAGCTTGCCACACTACTCTCCATCATTTCTCTAACACTGAGACTTCCTTTTCATTTATCATCACACATGAAGCTACTGGTTTTCTCATACTGGGCCTGCTTCACTCATTTATGAGACCTGCCTGGCCTCTGTAAGCATTTGCATTTGAGACCCATGATCTAGCCCAACCGATTTATCATACAGATGAAGAAACTGGGGCCCAAGGCATCTTCAGAGATTTCACCAAAGCCATGCAACTAACTAGTCAATGACAGAGGGAGGACTAGACTCCAGGCCGCTGGAATTCCAGGCTACTCTAATGGAGCCTAATCAGTCCCTCCTGGTTTGAGCATATATTGATTTAAAAAAATTTTAAGGCAGGGGAGTTCCATCCTTGAACAGTTTCAGGCTGTGTTTAGTTCTCTAAGGATGAAATATCTTCCCACTGCAATTACAACATCAACACTCTGACACATATTCTTCAGCTGATTGCAATCAAGACAAACTTGGTCCATTCTTTCCTCCTGACTTCATAAGTTTTGCAACATCTCCCTAACTTGAAAATCCCATAGCGTCCAGATGAGACTGCTGACACAGATGGCTGTCTCCCTAAGATAAGGCACATTCTCAACCCTTCAAGGCAGTCTGAATGGAAAGACTTGATACTATTACAGTGTG